TAGAATTCCACTGTTAAAGAATTGTTGTAACACATATTATTGATACTTTTTTGATAATTTAGTATACATAAAAATTGCCTTTCTAGTTTAATTTGCACTCAGCTATGTTTTTTTTTTTCTAAAACTGGCATAATAAATGAAAACATGGTTTCCTTGTTTGGAAGAGTTATATACTCTGTTGATGTGTATAAATTCCCCGGAAAGTTTATTTGCTGCATATGTTACCTTCTGTTACCACTCTGTTAAAATTGCTGTAGCTGTATAGAGCAATAATGTAAGAAATTGTGTGAACCTCCCGATTATGTCATTGTGCAAAGGTTGCAGACTCATGCCTTATGTTAAAAATCAATTTAACATTGTTATAGACATCAGTTTCACTGGGCACCTGTCTTTATTAATGATTATGATTGTGTAAAACATAGCCTGGAGCCATGAATCTCACTGTAATATAGTTAAGAAAATATCAGTAAGCAAAAATCAGGCTAGGATAGAAAAAGAGCTCAATCCTGTCTTCATTTCTTTTAAACATCACCCATTAGCGATCCTACCTTCTCCTGGCATCATTGGGTTCCTCATATGCTATCAGTCTAAGCCTGGAGCACAAATACAGACTGGCCTCTTCTGTCATTCAGCCGCTCTCTTTTTCTGGTGCCTGTTATTATAAACTAGTTTCTAACTGCTAGCTCTAGCTTATTCATAGCAGTATGTTTATGGTTTGTGTCTCACAGTCCATTCCCAAGTAGTCAATAATTTTGACACCTTCTAATTCATGTTTTGAAAATGTGCCTAATGTCTATAATGCCTTTTAGATGTTACCGTTATAAATAGGATTATTTAGTTAAACAATGACATCTCTTAAAAAAATCAGATTTGCGTGCATCATTGCAAAAACCTCTTTAAATGTAAATTATAATATTCCTTTTAATGTCCAAGGGTAAAAACGCTTGTCTCCAAAAACTTTATTTAAACATTTAAAAATGAAGAAAACATTTTAAATGAATGAGGTAATACATTTGAGACATTTAGCAGAAGTAGACCATCAATTATAAGATACAGTAGGTGCTTACAAATCCATATCCTTAGTATGGTCATGTCTCCCAGGATATCCAAGAAGAGTAATGGTAATTGCAAGCATAGTATGTTAGACACCAGAGTCTTAAGGTACAATATGTGGCAATAACTGGAAAAATAGCCAAAAGTGAAGGCCTAATAAGTCTCCCATGACCATATGTATACTCAATGGAGCAGAAACCAGAAAGGAATAAAAACTAAAAGAAAGGGGAGGATAAAGGGAGAGCGAGGGGGGAGAGTGAAAATAACTGCAGCTGGTAAAATACTTGTCAATTTATGTTTTACAATCTCTTTTCTGTATGTGGGATTTAACTTCACTTCCTTTCCTGAAAATGCAGCATGAAATAAAATGAAATCTCTAAAGTAAACAAAATGCCCATATTAGGTCACTGTTATGAGAACAAGTGACCCTGTAAGATGACTTACCCTTTCTTATTGCTCCGGTGATTATTGCAAAATTTGGGATTTTGTCTTTGAGGGAGATTTGGGAGGGAGATTTGAAATATTCAGCATTACCGGTGTGGTGATTACTCTTTAATTAGCTTCTGGAAATTAACTGGATCCCCCTTACCTGTTCAGAAGCTGTCTGGCCTATTTCCAGGCCCAGTAGCACACTGACAAACTCAGGCTCCAGTCTAGGAGTCCTTATATTATTTATTGCATGTCTCAGATAAATTGCAGGTTGGAGAGTGCATGCATCTAAGGTACAAGAAAAACTTAGAGGACAGCTTCCTGAATATTTTATCCCAGTAGTATTTGCCCCTTTAGTAGCAGCCTCAAAATAATACTGATGGAGTGGGGACAGCCAAGCAAACCTGCGTCCCTATAAGAACAGTCACAGTCTTTTGGTAGCTCCACATGGCATATAATCCTCATTCAGTAAATCAATACCTGAAGCTGCAGGCAATAGGTCCTGCTCAAAATCTTCAGGCAGCATTTCTGCCAGCTTCCCTGCAACATTCTTCCATGAAGGTCTCCTTCTCCAGCCCAGATTCAACAGGAAACATTCCTCAGGACCCCAGCACATAGCACCTGAGGAGGCCTAGTAGTAGCTTTTTTGAAACACACATGCCTCTGTCCAGGGGAAACCCGAGCGGACAAAGAGACCATCATTAGACCATCCCACATATTTATCTGCTCCCAAATGACACCTTCTGGGCCAGCTTCCCAGGGATTGTTTAAGTCAGATAAATATTTATAACTCCCACACTCTTGCAGCTCAGCCATAACACTAAATTTAGCCAGCCCAGGGCAGGGGCACCTCACCTGAAGGATTATAACATCAACTCCATAATGCAGAAGCCAGGTGAAAGGTAAGTACATTTTATAACTTTTTCTGCAAATTTTTTCTAAAGCTTTTATTTGGCAATTTAAAATAGGGATGGGCCAGTTTTGAATAAGTGGGCTTTGCTTTTGGGTGCAAGGTCCTCGTTAATCACCCAGGAGCAAGCAGGAACAGCAACACCCAGGAACAATCCAAGCAGGTTTGCCCTGCAGCAAAACAGCATACAACGTTTCAGTGCAGGGGGCAATTCTATAGCCACTACCTAAACTCAGGTCAGTAGTTGAGTAACAGTGTGCCTCCCCCTGTGCATCAGTCAGCATAAAGGTCCATGAACAGCAGAGACTAATATTGGAGTCTGGCTACCAGGTAAGATGTTGATCTAGGGATGGATGCTTCATTTCACCCAAAGCAACATAAAACCTCTGGGCTCCAAGACCAAAAACATAATTTTTTATGGTTCTGGAAAAACAAAAAATTTGTTTATTTCACATCACGTATAAACTCTGAAGACCCTCACATGTGTATAGTGTCATCTAGAAGCCTAGATGACAAATAGATACGGTCCACAATCCTGCTAAACAATGTCTTGCAATATATTTTATATTTATATATATATATATATATATATATATATATATATATATATATATATATATATATATATACACATATACACACATACTGTATATACACACACTATTGCCAAAAGTATTGGGACACCCCTCCAAATCATTGGATTCAGGTGTTCCAATCACCTCCATGGCCACAGGTGTATAAAATCAAACACCTAGGCATGCAGACTGCTTTTACAAGCAGTTGTGAAAGAATGGGTCACTCTCAGGAGTTCAGTGAATTCAAGCACGGTACCATGATAGGTTGCCACCTGCGTAAAAAAGTCCATCCTTGAAATTTACTTCCTGCTAAATATTCCTCGGTAAACTGTAAGTGATGTTATAACAAAGTGGAAGCAAATGGGAACAACAGATACTCAGCCACGAAGTGGTAGGCCACATAAAATGACAGAGCGGGGTCAGCGCACGTTGAAGCACACAGTGCGCAGAAATCACCAACTGCCTGCAGAGTGAATAGCTAAAGACTTCCAAACTTCGTGTGGCCTTCAGTTCAGCACAACAGTGCGTAGAGAGTTTCATGGAATGGGTCTCGATGGCCAAGCAGCTGCATCTAAGCCTTAAATCACCAAGTGCAATGCAAAGCTTCAGATGCAGTGGCGTAAAGCATGCCATCACTGGACTCTAGAGCAGTAGAGACGCGTTCTCGAGTGACAAATCACACTTCTCTGTCTGGCAATCCGATGGACATGTCTGGGTTTGGTGGTTGCCAGGAGAACGGTATGTGCCTGACTGCATTGTGCCAAATGTAAAGTTTGAAGGGGGGATTATGGTGTAGGGTTGTTTTTCAGGTGTTGGGATTGGCCCTGTAGTTCCAGTGAAAGGAACTCTCAAGGTGTCAGTATACCAACACATCTTGGACAATTTCATGCTCTCAACGTTGTGGGAACAGTTTGGGGATGGCCCCTTCCTGTTCCAACATGACTGTGCACCAGTGCACTAAGCAAGGTCCATAAAGACATGGATGAGAGAGTTTGGGGTGGAGTAATTTGACTGGCCTGCAACCCACCAGAACACCTTTGGAAAATGAATTAGAGTGGCAGGCATTGTCCAACAGCAGTGCCTGACCTCACAAATGCACTTCTAGAAAAATGGTCAAAAATTCCCATAAATAGATTCCTAAACCTTGTGGACAGCCTTCCAAAAAGAGTTGAACCTGTTACAGCTGCAAAGGGTGGGCCAACTCAATAATGAACTCTACGGACTGTGACGCCACTAAAGCTCATGTGCGTGTAAAGGTGGGCACTCCAATACTTTTGGCAATATAGTGTGTGTGTATATATATATATAGTATAGATAAAATCCTGCTGTGCACTATATTAACAGCAGTCTTAGAGAGATGTTTTATTTATACAAGAAAGTATATCTGGTATCAGACTTATTTTGCACTACTTTAGAAATCAAATATTTTAAGAACACAACATACAAACTAGTCACACTGACATTTTACAACAGATCTATGAAAACCACCCAAAAAACATTCATATTTTATGCTTTGTGTTCCTTTAGTAAGTCCTTCCCGTAAGCTTTCTTTTAAGGTGTCAGCTAAGCATTTGCAAGAACTACATCAGGGAAAACTAAAAATTTAAACAGGTTTTTGTATTACGATAGATTCCCTTTGATGTCATCTCATGTCTGCCTCACAAAATACAATGTGGATGTCTCGAGACACGGCCTTAAGTCATAGCAAAAAGCAAGCAAGGCACATTTATTAACATAGTCTCTCTGTTGGGTGCCACTTCAAACCACCTTTCAGGCATATGAATATGATTTAAGTGGCATGAAGGAGAAACCCCTAAAAGTATCACCAATTTTTTAAAAAATGCTGGAAGTGAACCTCTTTGATCAACATTCTTTCAGCTAAAGGATGTAATTATAAAGGTTTCCCAAGTGTGTGAGTGACAATTAATTTACTTCTTGTCAAAGTTGTTTTAAATTTTGAAAATAAAGGAAAAAGTATGTCACATCAGTGCCTTACATTGACACTTATTTTGCTGTGCTTACCGTCTTGTTTGCATTTGCAGATCAAAGTTTCAGTGTCTTCAGGAGGGGACTGCATTCGTACCTATAAACCTGACATCAAGAAAGGCAGATATAATACCATTATACTTAATGTGAAAACAGATACCCCTGATAACCTATTATTTTACCTTGGAAGCAATAAATTTGTAAGTATTCTTTCATGTACAGACTTTGTCTTTTATCTTTGTACTGTATTTGTCTTTTATCCTTGTCATTTAGCATCATAATTGTGCCATTTGTATTTGATACATGTACTTTTCTACTTTTCAAGTCCCTTTATTTTAGAACATTTTAATAGTGAAAAATCAGACATCATATGAAGTATTCAAAAAGAGACTAGGTCAGCCAAACCTAAGAGTTTCACAATAAAGAACTAAAGAAGGTCTAAGATCTAACTTTACACTGATTGGAGCGGATTTACTAAAGGTGAATAGGGTATTTGCTTTGCAATGCAGTTGCACTCGGCAGGGGAACTTTTGCCAGCGCTTAGGGAATGAGGTGAAGCACTGCTGCCTGCTATCATTCAATCATGTGCAAGCAAAAAGCTGTTTTTTTTATTTTCCTTTCACATGATCGGGTGTTACTATGCTAAATAAAAATTCCCTTGCAGAGTGCAACTTCCCTTGCAAAGAGAAAAGTGTATCTGACTTTACTAAATAAACCCCATTTTGCCCATTGGGCAATACAAATTGAAGGTTCTACTGTATTGCATTATCAGTGTCTCAGTCTTTACTAATAGGCGATTCCTGGGTGTGGAAATTTGTTGGGCTACCTTAGGCCACTGCTCAGCCTGTGGGGCTTTGTGGGTCTCAGGCTGACACGTCCCCTGAATTGCATAAAATCCAGTTTTGTGGTTTCATTTCCCCTGAACATGACTAAGTATGCAAAGTGAACTTTTTTCCCCATTTACATATTTTAAAAATCTATGTGATCAGATATTTTGCAAAGTTAATATGACCTTTATTACAGCATAGCAAAAACGGCAGACGTTTCTAGCAGAAACAGGCTTGCAGCATACTTTGAGAAAGTGAGCAACATGCATGGGACAAGCCTATAAGGAGGTCCCCTTCTTCAGGAACATACTGCTCCTAAAGAAGTTGCCTCCACCACAATATGTAAGGAGTTGCACTAATTGGGTTGCTACCAATAGGAATTTGGTAAGCTTCTGCTTTTCCCCAATATTACATTCGCTGTTTTATATCATTTAAACGCATACAATTGCCTATTAGATCTTGCTATTCTTAGAAAATTGCAGATTTAACCCCTTGGCGCCAGCGCCTCCCGGCCCTTTAAGGGTTTCAGAAGCCGGGAGGTGGGGCGGGGTTTTAGGGTCATGTGACCGCCGTGATATGACTTCACGGCAGTCACATAATCGGGAAAGGTCCCGATCGAAAGAGGAGATCGGGACCTTTCCGTGAGTACCGGACATGTGTGCTGGGAGCGCACAGGGTGTGTGTTTATGTCAATACCATTTCCCATATCCCTGTATATTGTGTCTATCTAAGTGTATATAGTATCATTATATTTGTATTGGTTTTATGTGTTTTTATAGGTTAAGGTGGTTTTTAGGGTATTTTCTGTATTTCTATATTTTTTTAATATTTTGTAAGGCATTGAAAATAATACCATATTGCTACTTATCAGTACAGTATGCTGTATTTTTCATGTGTTTTGTACTTTAATTTTACATTTTAATTTTATAAATGTGAATTCATAATAAATAAAGACCTGTCAAATTTAAATAATCCACAATTATGTGATACACTAATGATTGCTTTCCCATGTAAAGTTTATGCACATGTATTGAACATTTTGATGGGAAAATTAATGTGAGAAATAGTAACAAATAAAAGTTAAAATAACTTGTACATGTTGGCAAATTGACTGTTATGCAGATGGTGTCATTAGCTGGAATTCAAACCAAGGCATCAATATAATACAAGCAGGCTAACCACTGTGCTGCCTGTAAGGTGGCAATCAATCAGCAACCCACTGCAAGAAAATAAAATGGCTCCAAAAGATTAAAAACATCTAAAAAATGAAACCTTGTAACCTCTACAACACATTTACCTGCATAACAGGTATACTGTATGTCACTAGCTTTAAATATTTGAATGTAGTATACTTTACTACTGTATAACTGACAAAAAATACAGGCTCACTTAGAAGATATTACAGTTAAAAATGACATTTGACATTTTATTATTGCAAGACAATTTCCATGTATTGTACAGTATTAAGATATTAAACAACCAGGTTTCCTGAGAATTAGCACTCTACAAAATAAATCCTTCTGTTGAGCATTAATGAGTTTTGCTTTTATTATTTTTAGACTGATTTCTTAGCCATTGAAATGAGGAAAGGAAAAGTCAACTTTCTGTGGGATGTGGGATCAGGAGTTGGAAGAGTTGAATATCCTGAACTGAATATTAATGATCAATACTGGTACAGAGTTGAAGCTTCTCGGTAAGAATGTAAAAAGCTACCAAGAAAAATAATGCTTTGTATATATGTTCTTGTCAAGGTCCTACCTTTTCCCAGAGATTGTGCTGCTTCATGTGCTGGCGTCTATCTTGGGTTTCTGCAGAGCATGGTGGGAGTCTTTTATGCCTTCAGGCCTCTGAGGTCCATCCCACAGAGGGGTGTGGCTAATTACATATAAGCCTGTGATCCGCACATGCCCTTTGCACTTGTGTCTTGTGTCTTGGTGTTGCTATAGCTCTGTTTATACTCTTGTGACTCTCCTGGAATCTGACTCGGCTTGAGACTAGACCATTCTCTGTGTTTTCCTTTGATCTGACCTTCCGTTGCTGAACCCGGTCCATGACCTGTGATTCTTGTCCACTGTTCTGTACAGTTTTGTTCCGTTGTTGTCGACCCGGCCTGCCTGACTACGCTATTGTCATTCCTACCAGCTACATGCCATTGGCGGCAGCCATTACCGCAGCCGGGGTGTCTCGGGGGCCGCGACCTGATTCCTGGCTGCGTCAAGTCCATCCCCACCATCAGGGGCCCTGGTGAAGGGCTTCCTGGGACTTAGACTCCGCGCCCTGAGGGACTTCGGTCTGTGGGTGGTGGTTGTCGTCAGTCAGTGCGTTACCCTGCCACTAGGCCTGCCTGTCTGTTCCACAGCCCCAGCCCTGACAGTTCTTGACTATGCCTAACTACTATGAGGAATGAATCATGGGTATTGCTGGCATTGTGAACTACATGAACATTATAAAGCACACCTGCAGAAGTAGTTTTGTGCGTGTCTAGCACGAAATGGTAAATGGTTGCATGACCAAATCATGCTTAACAGTGGCTGTGGCTTAGAGGAGTCTGAATCTATTCACTGTACAAATATGTCTCAGAACTTGTACACACAAAATAATCCTTAAAGTGAAATTCCAGCCTAACACTATGCTTACAAATGTTCCCTCCCGCTTCCGCTACCTAATCTGCCTTGTGGAAAAGATGGGTATACTTACCTAGTTTTAGTCTGCTCTGTTCCAGTCACATGATCCTATACCTGCTGTTCATCTGTGTCAGTGTGCGGTGGCTGCAGGGGAAGGGTGAGACGTAATTGACAAAGGCTGAGAGTTTTGGGAACTATAACATCACTCATAGGCTCCCATGTCCCAGCCATTGACGGTGATCCCTCCTCTCCTCTGCAGCTGCCACTCACTGACAGAGGGGAGCCAGAATTGCGGCATCATGTGACTGGACAAGAGCAGACTAAAAATAGGTAAGTATGCACATCCTTCTTACACAGCTTAGGCAGGATAATTAGCAGGAGGAGGGAGGGAACATTTTATGCACAGTTAGTGTTAGACTGGAATTCCATTTTAAATACTGTACCAAATGTGAGACTCTCAAAGACACACAACCCAGGACAAAGGAAGTTAAACTTTTCCATTACATTTGCCTTTCTGTATAGAGAATATAGACATGTAGATAACACATTTCTGATTCTAGCTTAAAGTATTACTAAACCCACAACAGTAAAGTCAGCCTGTATATGCATTAAAGCATGCTTGCTGTGGAACCTAAGGGGTTAATCCTCTGCATTGTGCAAAAAGGCTGTTTGTTCCTGATTGCTGTGTTCCTTCTCTTGTTTAAGCAACCATCTCTTATCTCCTGATAAGACAGACTGAACGGTAGGCACTTTGCACAAGCTCAGTTTGGTGTGTATTGCTAGACAGGTTTTTTTTTTTTCTTGGGAGAGTGCATGTGATCAGCACAGAGCCAACCAGCACTGTCCAGATAGAGGGTCAGGGCTTTTGCATCCTCCTAGAGCAGAATGAAAACTCCTAGAAGCTTAAGCTAGTGCTTGGCTGAACACTGATAGAAGCCACAAATATGCTCTAATTTCTGATGAGAAAAGGCATTTAGCAGTTTATATTTACTAAAATAATTTCACTTCCATGTTTTGTGTACTGTGGGAGACCAGATATAGTGGATACAGGGTCCTGGGTTTAGTAATGTGACGGGAGTCACTTTGGGTGGGGGGCCCATGGAACCCAGCTCACTTTGGAGAAGTGGGGAGACCCCCATCTCAGCTCCCCATATCCCTCTTATGTGTAAATCCCCCTGTGCCTGTTAGGGGTACAGGGTGGTCTGTCCTAATATTGTGTTGGCTTGGTCTCAGACTGTGTAGACATGTTTAGGAGATAGGTGGTGTGGGGGTGGTTTATTGTTTAATGCTATGTGGCTGCATCCCATTGTTCTATTGTTTGTCTGGCTCAGGAGCAAACTATTATGGGATGTATGTGTTTATGTGTATTAGCTTAGTGGGGAGGTGTCTCCAGCAGCCCTCCCTCCTGATGGGACTGTCTGCTGGTGTGAAGTTTGAATACCTGTGTGTCTCTTGTTACTAAATGTAGATTGCCCTGCCCTGTGTCATTATGCAGGGAGGGGGGTTGTCCCCTGAGTGTATATATTTGTATCTGTGTTCAAATAAAGTGTCTTGTATGGTCGTCTGTTTTGTCTGTTGTTGGTGTTAGGACGGGAAAAGCGGTATTCTAACGGAAGTACTCAAGCACAGTCTGGGTCGGTTCCATTACAAGTAACACTTTAATGAAGGATTTCATTAAAAACATGGTGAACTACTTGGCAACCAGAACCTGTTAAGACAATAATTGTTTTGTAAACGAAGTGTGTAATGTACAACAAAGCATACAGAGTCTAGCAAACAGGACTTTGCAATGTACAACACAGCATATAGACTGTAGTCAGAATAGGGAATGTACACAGCGATGAGTATAGAAAAAGATGGTGTGGAATATGAAATGTACAGCACAGAGTACAGAATATGCGGCATGTAATAGGGAATGTAATGTACAGAATACGGAATGAGTTAACATGGAATAGATAATGTACAATGCAGCAAAGAAAATGAAAAGTTGGGGAGTAGGGAACATACAATGCATCATATATAATTAAGTGGTTTGGAAAAATACAGTGCAGGCTACAGAATGAGGCAGTGTGGATAAGGTAATGTACATTTCAGTCTACAGAATGAGGCAATGTGAAACAGGAACACACAATGCAGAGTACAAAATGAGGCAGTGTAGAATTGGGAGTGTACAGTGCAGTGTAAGGTGGTGTGAAATAAGAAAAGCACAGTGCAGTGCATTCCTTAACTGCACATGGTGTCATCCAACTGGCTGTGCTTTGTGCAACGGCTGTGTAAATCTTAAAACTAGACAGAAAGAAGTACAAGTCCTTACACAGGGAAACCTACTCCCTTACCTTCAATGAATTTAGCCTTATCTCTAGTTTTAAAAGTTGTAGTTTCCAAAGAAGTATGGATATTTCTGTTCAGAAGCTGTGACATTATTAATATATAGTTGAAAATGGTCAAAATATTTCAACAGATAGAGAAAAAAAAAGTATTAAAAAAAAGCCCATTAGCAAACCCTCTCAGTTTTAAGATGTTTTAACTCTGCCCACACTGACCTATTTTGGAATAAGCTGTGGGTGTTTGTTAGTTTGGAAGTGCTGCTCAGCAGAATGACAAAAATATAGAAAGTATAAGTACATAAATCGATAGCAGTCAAGGGATCTTATTATTCCTACCACACAGTATTCAAAGAATAAAAGTATATTATATTTTCACAGGAGTGATGTAAACCACGATAAAAAGTATGTCAGAACCTATGGTGCCCTATAGACAAGAACATGATAACAAGATGATTCAAAACAACCCATATGGAAGAAAAATATATATGAAATATATTTTAAAATTATTATTCCCAAATAGATTGTCATATATTTTAAATACTACAATTTTTGCCATATTCAATATATATATATATATATATATATATATATATATATATATTTTCAACATCTTTTTTCACGCATCACCTAGAGTTAGCATCTACTTCTTGGACTAAGACACCGGTCCAGAAAATATGTAAACATATCACATCATATAAAAAATCAAAGCCTGTGTTTGTGTGTGTTTGTACATGTATCACACATATCACCACTATTGCCTCTCATATTGTGACTTGCCAGAAAGTTGCAATGTTAGAGATCACTGAAGAGGGTACAATGATGCTTCTCTCAGACCTAGGCACTTGAATGGAGCTGAAGGACTACTTTTTAATGATGAAGGGTACAACTATTTATTTTGGAAAATATATTGTTCCTGTGTGTTGTGGCATGACAGGAATATATTCATGCAGACTTGTAAAGCTACTGAAAGGTGTCATTTAATAATGTTCTATTTAAAATGTGTGCAGTTTGGATAATTTTTAACCACACATACCCTGCCATGACTCATGGCAAATTTTTATAAGCCATAATTGGTTTATACATTAATCATGTTATAATATTTTCTGCTCAGGTAGACTTTTTACAAAAAATAAAAAAAGGTGGGAGTGGACCCCTGTCATATAGCCATTTTTTGCAAATAATCATGCTATTCCCACATGGAAGAAAAAATATATATGAAATATAGTTTTAAAATATTTTTCCCAAATAATAACCATTAAAAAAAAATAAAAAAATATTTATATTTATTATATATATACACATATACATACACACTATACATACATACATACTGCATGTTGAAATGCGTTTTTATTACAAAATATATGAAAAATATTTTCAAACTACATTTCAAATATACTGTATGTCTTTAAAAATACAATTATTGGAATGCATTCACAAATATATGTAAAAATATATGTTCAAATGACTTTTTTATATGTTAAAAAAAAATCTGAAGAATTTATTTAAAATATATATATTTTTTAAATATATATATTTTTTAAATATATTCTTCAGATTTTTTGAACATATAAAAAAGTCATTTTAACATATATTTGTAAATGCATTTTAAAAGTGTAGTATTTCAAATATATGTCAATATATTTGGGGAAAATATTTTAAAAATATATTTTGTATATATTTTTATTCCATGTGGGAATAGCATGATTATCTGCAAAAAAATGGCTATATGACAGAAGTCCAAGCCCACCTTTTTTTATTTTTTGTAAAAAGTCTAACTGAGCAGAAAATATTATAACATGAATAATGTATAAACCAATTATGGCTTATAAAAATTCGCCATGAGTCATGGCAGGGTATGTCTGGTTCAAAATTATCCAAACTGCACACATTTTAAATAGAACATTATTAAATGACACCTTTCAGTCACTTTACAAGTCTGCATGAATATATTTCTGTCATGCCACAATACACAGGAACAATATATTTTCCCCAAAAAAAATAGTTGTACCCTTCATCATTATGAAGTAGTCCTTCAGCTCCATTCAGGTGCCTAGGTCTGAGAGAAGCATCATTGTACCCTCTTCAGTGATCTCTAACATTGCAACTTTCTGGCAAGCCACAATATGAGAGACAATTGGGGTGATAAGTGTGATACATGTACAAACAGACAAGCTTTTATATGATGTGATATGTTTACATAGTTTCTGGACCTGTCTGAGTCCAAGAAGTAGATGCTAACTAGGTAATGCCTGAAAAAAGATGTTGCTGGCCTTTTGGAGTGAAAAGAAAAAACAACACATTACCAGGGAAAGTTCTATAATCGTTTAGCGGTAGTAGTCCGTATCTCTGGTATCAAGTTTTCAGCTTCTTACTCAAAATGCCCAAAAGTGTCACTGCAGAAGTGTAACCTGAGAAAATATCTGGTGTATTAATAATTTCGAGGGTATGATGTCCCCTGATCAACTACAAAGTAACCTAAAGTGTATTCTAAGGCAGAACTTTTTTTTTTTAATTTGTAGTGGTGAGGTGCTAGGACAACCTTTAGGTTTTTATTGCTGTCTGTGTCCCTATAAGGAGAGCAAATCCAAAATTATGTTTTGCTACCAGAACAGAATAGAGGGGAACAGAAGGGAAATCTTCCAATAGGGAACCTTGTTTCTGCAACAATTGTCTAAGAGGGAATTTCTCTCAGGTTGGAATGGTATCATATCAAATCCTGAATCTACAGAACAGGAAGTAACGGTAAATGAGACACAGATGAAAAAACAAAAAACGGACAGCGGATTTAAGCCTCCCCAACTCTATTGCAAAACGATTAAACAAAATTAAAAAATGACTTTAGATATACTTTCAACTGTTGTGTAGTATTATTTTATGGAACACTACAGCTATTTTCACCTGCATTGTTTTGAGCAACAAGAGACTGCTTCAGGCATTAAACCATTAAGCCGGCCAGTCATGGATTGAAATTTGGCCAGTGGAGCTTGGACTGAAAATTTTTGATCCAAGGTTGTACAGAAGTTGATCTACCAATCAACTTCCATTCAACCACTCTGTTGAGAAACTTCCACGTTTTTCAAGCATGGAAATTCCAACTGTCAGAATACAATAGCTCAGCGAGGAGGATTCCCTCTTTTACATCAAGTGTGTGGATGGGGGGAATTGAGTCAGTTTTTTTTTTCGCTCAGCCTGTTGGTTGAACAAAAAAAACGGGTCCATCTTAAATGGAATCTATCAGGATAGGCAGAAATATGAATCTGCAATTTCTGACTTGTATTTAAAAATTGGAAGCTCTTGGGCTGTCATCTTCATCCTTACCTCACTTCTTAAAGTGTCATTACCTAGAATTAGTATTCGGCCAGTGAAGACAGGGCTCTCAGCTAGAATATTTGTACTAGGCCAGTGACTAGTTATATAGTGAAGCCCGAATTCCATATTCCTGTCTTGAAATTTTAAAGTGCATGTCCAGTCAAAACCTTTTTTTCATTTATAGACTAGTATGGTAATGCAAACACACTTAAAGCAAAAAAGAAAAAAGCCCATTGTACCGCCCCCAAAGTAAGCACAATCTCTAATAACTCATGATGGAACTCTTTGAGCCATAACTTCTTTTGATTTTTAATACACTTTTCTGTAGAGTTTGTTATTGTTTTGAATCATCTGGCTCTGTAGGCTTTCGGATGTCTTTTCAAGTAATATTGTGAAACAAAGCAAAACTTTAGGTTTGCAGTGATGTCTTGGTAAGGTGATGACTTCCTATGACCTGTTAAGATTTTATATTTATACTTCATTCACGTATATGGATATTGTAATTTGTATTTGAATTTAAATAATGTATGTGCACATTTTGGAAATGGGGGCTTGTGAATACACACTCTTATAAAAAGAATATGAAAATCCTTGTTAATAGCAGCATGTACATTTCTTAACCAAGTCAACTTTTGTATTACAAATGTCATAACATTAGGTTTAGGGTAAGACAGTTCACAGAAATGATAGATATGAAGAGAAAGTACCATTTCTCCTTATTATTATTGGTAGACCTATATCAAACTGGTGTAATTTACTGTAGGAGTAACTGTGTAATGATGTTGTTATTCCTTCATATTTATATCCTACTCTGGAAGAATATTATGTCAAGCTTGGAAATTTCTGTTCCGTAAATATATCTCTTCCCTTTATCTTTCATTTGAGTCATCACAGTCATGGGGAAAAATGATTACTACTATAATCATCTTCGTATACAGGGAAGGCATTGCTGTTAGGATAAATTTACAGAAAGCTGAGTTGAGTTTCATATTAAAATGTCTAATAGGTTTATTTCTTATGCATTTGATCATCACTCAAACCACAAGTGCAGTTATTTTTTTGTTTCCAACATCTATTTAATGTTATGTTATTACACATGCCTTACATTTGCATCAACCCTCTTAGCTACAAATGTTTATATGGCCTTTTCATCATTTCCATATGCCTTAGATATCCTAAAATAAATTGTAGAAATTTATGAGTGTTATAAAAACACAAACGTAATACATTTTTCTGTTCCTAAACTAAGTGGACTTTGTAAGCTATAGTCACAAACTATGATGCTAATAAAGGAATAATTTACAACTAAACACACATTCTGTATATTATTATACATGTTTTATTTTACCATATCTAATATTATTGTTTTTTTTTCAATATAGAAACTTTACTTCCAAGAATTACCTAATTTTTTCCCTCTACTGTCATGGAATAAAGGACAGAAAATGATCATCTTACTGGGCATGGGGAGCATTGATGTAATTCTGTAAACACATTAAACATTTAATCATGTGCAGAAAATCATTCTGTTTTATAAATTCCTCTTGTACAAGACTGACTGTTTCATTCTTACAATATTCACTAGTAAATCAGACCCATTGCCATTCTATATAGACTGTAGCAAACCACTGTTTTGCAGAATCTCAAGGATTGTAGATTGCAGTTAAGGAGGGCAAGAGGAGAAAATGGAAATGAAACGTGAACAGAATTGTGTACGAAATGTACAAACAGAATGAAAAAAAAAACGATGTTGTAATGCCCAGCCAACACTGGTTTGACTGTAATGATGCAACTACAAACTATGTGAACTAACTGTCTGAAGCCTACAATCACATTACAATATAAAATAAAGCTTGCCAATCAAGCCCATAGCTGGTGATAAACAAGTTTGTGCCAAGATCTATCTCATAGTAATAGATTTTTAAAGGGTCTGTTAAATTGTCTAGATCTGTGTTGCATCTTAGTTACTACAGAAAATGTGATTGACTTGTAAAATTATAACTGATAAAAAATACTTGATCCGGGTTGGGTTTAGATTTCTGCAGAACATTTGACTAGCTCATATACACTCACCAGCCACTTTATTAGGTTCACCTGTTCGATTTCATGGTAACATAAATTGCTAATCAGCCAATCACATGACAGCAACTCAGTGCATTTAGGCATCTAGACGTGGTGAAGATGACTTGCTGAGGTTCAAACCGAGCATCAGAATGGGGAGGAAAGAGGATTTAGATGTCTTTGAACGTAGCATGGTTGTTAATTCCAGACGGACTGGTCTGAGTATTTCAAAAGCTTCTGATCTACTGGTATTTTCAAAAATATCCAGTGAGTGGCAGTTGTGTGAACTAAAATGCCTTGTAGAGGTCAGAGGAGAATGGGCAGACTGGTTGATGCGGCATTCAGATGGTAGGGTCAGAAATTTGCATAAACAACATGAAAGCATAGGTCCATCCTGCATTGTATCAATTATTCAGGCTGGTGGTGGTGGTGTAATGGTGTGGGGGATATTTTCTTGGCACTAGCAAGGTGTACCTAATAAAGTAGCTGGTGAGTGTAATTACAGTTGGTAAAAAAAATACCTTGAAGGAAACCAACAAGGAAAATCGCATTTCATCTACATCATTCTTCCTGAATTTTTAACAGTTATCTTACACCTTGTATTCTGTATTGCAGGTCAGGAATTAATGGAACCATTTCAGTTTTAGCACTTGAAGGACCTAAATCCAGTATGGTGCCCAGTATATACAGCTCCACCGCACAGCCTGGTTATACTATTCTGGATGTTGATGCAAACGCTTATCTTTTTGTTGGTGGTTTGACTGGAAAAGTAAAGGTAATAAAATTTAAGGATCATTACATGGTAGCCTTACATGTTTATAGAGCGACATTGCAATAATACAGGTGTTTTTTTAACACAATGTGCCACACACAATCTTTCTATGCTTTTTCTTCTCTTCTCTTTTCCTGTATATTCTTTCATGGAAGAACCTAGTAGGCACAAATGTATCTAGACAAGGGGTCCTTAAACTATCTAAACAAAGGTCCATTTCCCTGTCCATTAGACTTTAGGGGGCCAGACTGTGACCAGCAGGAACAGAAAATGCCCTGGGTGTCAGTGCGAGTAAACTATTTTTGTGGTACAGTGTTGAGTGGGAGTAAAAAATGTTCCGGGGTTGGTGGAGACCTACCGAGTATGGTCAGTGGGAGGACACCCCATCGTTGGTGGAAGAAACAGTGCTCCAATGTTGATATCAGAGGGATGTATATTACTCCATTATTTCTTTCAGTGGGAGGAATAGTGCCCCATTGTTGGTTTCAATTGTCTGAACATTGTAATCAGTAGAAGGAATAATGTCCCATCGTTGCTGTCAATGGGAAAAACTGTGCCCCATCGATGGTGTAGCTACCATTTTAATGCAAATACTTATGTGCTACAGCATCTAATGTGTGCTTCAAAATAGGGTTTAAATGGCCTGTCTTTTCAGAAAAGCTTGGTGTTTGTGGGTACCAAACTCTACCATGTCAGATGTGGTCTGTAATGCAGAATAACTCCTTTTAAATCTCTATAACTCCTGTAGGAGCACTGAATTTAAAAGAGAAGTTGTACCTGTCTGCACTTGGCTGGTCATGTGGGATGAGGCAACTGGAATTTTTATATTCCCCGTTACAAAGCTTATACCTAGTATTAAAGTAAATATAATAGGAGTCAGGAATGTCCTTTGACCATTAGCTGTATAGATACAAGCCCTTATCTACTGTGCTGGACATGAGAGGTTTGTCTTCTTTATTTGTATCTAAACCTAAAAACAAAACTATAGTCTTAGATGTAGTAGCTGCATTCATTTTTTTAAGGATTTGACTATATATTCACATGGGTTTCCTGCCAGTAACACATTTAGGGCGACAATGCTAATGCTCTGTACTGTGGCTTTAAAAAAGCAGCATTATTACTGTAAGATCAAAAGTATGTCCCCCATGTCTACAGAACACCACTCTTCTTCTCAATAACATACAAACAGAAAGATTAGTTAAAAAAACAAAGTTTTACTATGAGAGCTAGGACTTTGCACTTTCACAAACAAGTCAGCATTGGATGCTCCCACAGTTTTTCCTGAAAGCCCCAGTACAAGATTAAAAACGTAGATTAAATTAATTTAGTTGATGGTGCTGCTTGTTTGAAACCCCAAACTCTCCATGGAAGCTTCTGTTTAACATTACCTAGAATGAAAAAAATAACACAGCAAAAATTGCATTCAAAAGGTAAAATAACCCTTTATTAACCTGATTTTTTTTACTAATACTTTTGCAAAACAATACATATATCCAGTGCTGGCCCACACTACATGTTGTACATTTACAAGTTAATAAAATGTAAATATATATTACTGTAGAAATACAGAATATTATATGTACTTTCATTCACATTGCTGTTAAATGTGTTAATGTACATCTGCACATAGACCATAAAGTAGAACTATATAGGCAAAAAATTTTTTTCTCATTTTGAATGGAGAAAACGGAGGGTTATAACCCAGCTCAGTTTTTTTTCCCATCTGTGCTCCTGTCCCATAGCCAAAACAGGAAGTGAAAGGAAATCCCTGCAACTTAAGTGACCCCCAGGTCACCAGAACTAGTGTCTCCTTTGGAAGATTTCCCCTTTATTACTGTTCTGGGGAAGACCCAAAATGTGTTTCTTCTACTTGAACTTTCAATAATGGCAAACAGGACACATAGAGAGGGTTAACCTCCCTACCAGGGGCACAGTTAGCAATAAAAACATGACAGGGGTTATAACTCCTCTCCATTCTGTCCACAACCAAAAAAATAATAATTTTTAGTTACCATAGTTAAAAAATGTAATATCCTTGTCATGGCCAAAAAAATTAATAGACTAAAGCTGGCCATAGATGACTTGGATTTTTCCTTTTTTTTAGCAGCTAGTGTGCTGATCAAAGCTATCCATCAGCTAATGAACAAAAATGCTTTGTATCACAAATGGCATTTTATCTCTGCAATGCAACAGTTGACTGTACACCTACTTTTTATTCCATTATTATTCAACAAGATATGGTCAAGATGCAACTAAACTCTTCAAGCCTCTAACTTTTCAGTTGTTCTTACATACCAGTGGGTCTACCACCAGAAATTCACAACTTCTCCTTTTTTGTTACCTTCTGTTTTTTCAACCTGTCTTTTTAATTCACACCTCTCTCTCGGAAGTTTCTCTCCCTTTTATTCTATACTTGATCAATTCTTTATGTTTAAGGTTCCAAGTTATCTGTTATAATTTAATCACAAATAAGGGAATGCCTTGTCAACTTGCCTGATAAATAGTAATATGCCTATAAATATTGATTCTGTTTATTCAATAAGCTAAATGACAGGCCTCTAATATAGACTAATTGAAGATGATTTAGTTATGCTCTATGCTTGTTTAATTGTAATGTATTTTTGATGTAGGATAATGCATGATTATAAAAAGAACCTACTGAATGTAGTGCCAGTACTACATTTTGCTCAACCACCAGTAAAAATTCAAGAAAAGAAAATTAAAACAATATGCCTTTCACTATAAAATAAACTAAACGTGGTTTATTCTATGGGAAAGCTTGATTAAAAACAAGAGAAAGCTTTGTTTTCAAAGCACATTAGAAACTGTTGAATAGTAGAGGCAGATGGTAGGCTAATTAGCTACATCTAAGAACATTCTGTGAATATTCTGACATTTGGCTTTTCACATTCCTGACAATTTGTCAATCTGAGGGCACAGTGTGCAAAGTAAAGGGTTTCTATTTACAGCCATTCCTGTTTTAAAATAAAAAAGGAACACAATGTCCATGCCCAAGCTACATGTTTTTAAGATGTAGAACATAACATCATTCTGAGGTCACGTGTGCATACACACAAGAATCCAGACATAACTGTATGTGTGGTTCACTTGATCCGCCACAATTCTTTTTCCAAAGCAACACAATATGCCAGTCCAAAGTAAAAATGTTTACAGATGATGGCTGGCAAAATATTACCTCCCAAGGTATATTTCAATAAAATAAGGTAATTTTTTATTATACGTTTTATATTATTTTATTGTTTATTTTTTCATTTTATATAATTTTTGGATAGAGGGGGGCCCCTTCTGTCAGGGGGGCCCAGAGTAGTTGCCCCTTTTGCCCCCCTTATACAGTCAGGTCCATAAATATTGGGACATGGACACAATTCTAACATTTTTGGCTCTATACACCACCACAATGGATTTGAAATGAAACAAACAAAATGTGCTTTAACTGCAGACTGTCAGCTTTAATTTGAGGGTATTTACATCCAAATCAGGGGAATGGTGTAGGAATTACAACAGTTTGCATATGTGCCTCCCACTTGTTAAGGGACCAAAAGTAATGGGACAATTGGCTTCTCAGCTGTTCCATGGCCAGGTGTGTGTTATTCCCTCATTATCCCAATTACAATGAGCAGATAAAAGGTCCAGAGTTCATTTCAAGTGTGCTATTTGCATTTGGATTCTGTTGCTGTCAACTCTCAAGATGAGATCCAAAGAGCTGTCACTAACAGTGAAGCAAGCCATCATTAGGCTGAAAAAACAAAACAAACCCATCAGAGAGATAGCAAAAACATTAGGCGCGGCCAAAACAACTGTTTGGAACATTCTTAAAAAGAAGGAAAGCACCGATGAGCTCAGCAACACCAAAAGACCCGGAAGACCACGGAAAACAACTGTGGTGGATGACCGAAGAATTCTTTCCTCGGTGAAGAAAATACCCTTCACAACAGTTGGCCAGATCAAGAACACTCTCCAGGAGGTAGGTGTATGTGTGTCAAAGTCAACAATCAAGAGAAGACTTCACCAGAGTGAATACAGAGGGTTAACCACAAGATGTAAACCATTGGTGAGCCTCAAAAACAGGAAGGCCAGATTAGAGTTTGCCAAACGACATCTAAAAAAGCCTTCACAGTTCTGGAACAACATCCTATGGACAGATGAGACCAAGATCAACTTGTACCAGAGTGATGGGAAGAGAAGAGTATGGAGAAGGAAAGGAACTTCTCATGATCCTAAGCATACCACCTCATCAGTGAAGCATGGTGGTGGTAGTGTCATGGCGTGGGCATGTATGGCTGCCAATGGAACTGGTTCTCTTGTATTTATTGATGATGTGACTGCTGACAAAAGCAGCAGGATGAATTCTGAAGTGTTTCGGGCAATATTATCTGCTCATATTCAGCCAAATGCTTCAGAACTCATTGGATGCCGCTTCACAGTGCAGATGGACAATGACCCAAAGCATACTGCAAAAGCAACCAAAGAGTTTTTTTAAGGGAAAGAAGTGGAATGTTATGCAATGGCCAAGTCAATCACCTGACCTGAATCCGATTGAGCATGCATTTCACTTGCTGAAGACAAAACTGAAGGGAAAATGCCCCAAGAACAAGCAGGAACTGAAGACAGTTGCAGTAGAGGCCTGGCAGAGCATCACCAGGGATGAAACCCAGCGTCTGGTGATGTCTCTGCATTCCAGACTTCAGGCTGTAATTGACTGCAAAGGATTTGCAACCAAGTATTAAAAAGTGAAAGTTTGATTTATGATTATTATTCTGTCCCAATACTTTTGGTCTCTTAACAAGTGGGAGGCACATATGCAAACTGTTGTAATTCCTACACTGTTCACCTGATTTGGATGTAAATACCCTCAAATTAAAGCTGACAGTCTTCAGTTAAAGCACATCTTGTTCGTTTTATTTCAAATCCATTGTGGTGGTGTATAGAGCCAAAAATGTTAGATTGTGTCGATGTCCCAATATTTATGGACCTGACTGTAAATTCGGCAACACCACCAATTACTCAATTTAGCTGCCAAAAGTTTACACCGTGTTTCCTTTCAGTTAAAAAAAGGCTCCTCTGTGTATGCAACTATTTTTATTTCATACACAGAGGATCACCAGCACCAACTGTTTTTTTTTATGTATTTAATTTGGGTAGTAGTAATTACTTCATGTACAGTGTTGATGGGGATTTTAGCAATTATGCAATAACATCTTCAAAAGGAAAGCTGGAAAACTTGGTGCTGTTAGTACTTGTACTGGAGCTATGAAATCCTGTACTAGAAGTTTGTTTACACCACATTAAGAATTTACAAGATTTTATTGAATAAGGCTGTATGTCTTCTTTGTATGTACTACAATTAGTATGTAGTAGTCGCTGCATGTTGTCACAGCTTAGTGCTAATAATTGTAACCTGTCTGATCATTTCAGAAGACAGATGCAGTAAAAACAACAACATTCTCTGGTTGTATGGGTGAAACATTTCTTGATAATAAGCCAATAGGATTGTGGAATTTCAGGGACCGAGAAGGAGACTGCAAAGGATGCTCAATTAGGTAAATAATACTTGTTTTTACAATAACTATGTTTTGTTCTTTGACCTTTAATCTAAATTCTTTAGAAGTGTTGTGCTGTGTGCTAATCCAGGACAAGCAGTCAAAAAAATAGCTTTTTGATTATTAAAGTAGTTATGTTAATAAATGGCATGGTGTCAGAAATGGAGGTGACACAGAAAGTAAAAATAAAATGTTAGAGAGTCTCTAACTTTTTCTGTCTACCCTAATTTGGCAAATGAAACAAGGCTAAAATTGATCTTTAAGTTGTCCATACACTGTATTAATATGCACAACATTAAAAATATTTTCAGATACAGCTACTGTGGTGGGCCAGCTGTCAAAATACAATAGCTGCAGCAAGAGATTGGTCCTTCTACACTGCACAGCAAGGATGGAGGAATCTGATTTTTTTTTTTGCATTCAGCCTGTTCAGTATATGGCCAACCTTAGTATGATTACAGGATATAGTTATGATTGTACCAAATAATTCCATAAAGCAGGGCTCTCCAAATTTTCTAAACAAATGGCCAGTTTACTGTCCTTTATACTTTAGGGGGCAGTGCCCCATCATTGGTAGTGGGGGGAATCGTACCCCATCAATGGTGTGTGAGTGGGAGGTATAATGACCAATTGCTGGTGTCAGTGAGAGGAATTGTACCTCATCATTGGGCAGCACAGTAGCTGAATGGTTAGCACTTCCACCTGGCAGTACTAGGGTCGTTGGTTCAAATCCCAACCACGGCACCACCTGCCTGGAGTTTGAATATTCTCCCTTTGCCTGCGTGGGTTTCCTCCAGGTACTGCAGTTTCCTCCCACACTCCAAAGACATGCTGGTAGGTGAATTGAATCCTGTCCAAATTGGCCCTAGTATGTGTATGTATGAATGTGAGTTAGGGATCTTAGATTGTATGCCCCTTGAGGGTTAGGGACTGATGTGAATGTACAATATATATGTGAAGCGCTGCACAAATTGATGGTGCTATATAAGTACCTGAAATAAATAAAAATAAATCATTGGTAGTGGGAGGAATAGTACCCCATTGTTGGTGTCAGTGGGAGGAATAATGACCAATCGGTGTCAGTGGGAGAAATAGTACCCCATCATTGGTTTTAGTAGGAAGAATAATGCCCCATTGTTGGTGTTAGTGGGAGGAATATTGCCTCTTATCAGTGAGAGGAACAATGCCCCACAGCCTGAATAAAGGCAAGTAAAGGGCTGCATCCAGCCCCTGGGTAAGTTTGGAGATGACTGTTCTAAAGTATTTTGTAACTCTCCTGGTTTTGTTGAGCTCTAATGTGAATTTGCTTGTAGTATATATGTTTTTATTTGTTGTTTCTTGTCAATTTAGTAACTTATAGCAACAACAAAAATGACGATTTTCTGTAGTGTTTCTAGTTAAACTAAAATCAGAGAGCAACCTCTTTGCTATGAGCTTGGTAACTAATATTTTCCATCTTTGTAGTCCACAGGTAGCAGACAGTGAAGGAACAGTTCAATTTGATGGAGATGGATATGCACTGGTTAGCCGCCCCGTTAGATGGAACCCCAATATATCTACAATTGTGTTCAAGTTTAAAACATTTTCATCAAATGCACTGTTAATGTACCTAGCAACAAATGACTTGGTAAGAAAACATTTAATTTTTTTGCAGAGAATCAGATTTGAAATAATTGAATTTCTAGCCATGCCAGCATTCTCCTCACCTGAAAATGAACTATGATGTGCAAGGAGGGAGGGGGTTGTGCTGTGGAATTAATTCAGCCTGGAATAGTCAAATGTTCTTGCAAGTTCTAAGGCACATTGCAAGTGAAGAAATCATCTATGGTAAGAGAAAACAAGTAAGCATTTCGATTTTTTTCCTTTTAGCTTTTTCTGTGTTTTTACCTGCAGCTTATTAAGCTAGAGAAAGGGAAGCCGATTTAATAAATTGTATAAAGTTTCTTTTTAACTATCCAGTTAGATAAAAAGCAAATATTCTTTACTTATTTTATCTGCACATTATTAGATATTTAAAGTAAATATTTAGACAATTTATTCTTTTAGCTTTTTCAACTATCTTAGCAAATCCGCTAAATCATAATCACTTATGAAAACTATTTAAATCGCTGCCAGGGTTAAAAGTAAAGCACACTTACAACAATCAGCCCATAGCAATTTTCAAAGTCCCAAATGTAAATAAGCACTTGGGCAATGTAATTCAGCTATTCGGAATCTGAGAGTGCTGGAAGGGCTTATGGTTCTATTTATTTGGGATGGGAACATTCAGGTTTTACCAGTTATCTTGAGACTTAGATATGATTTTAAGCTTAGGGTTGTACTCCAGAATAGGGATGGGACTGATGTTCGAGTTGAATGAAGATACGAATGGTAATGGTGTTTGACGGGCTTTTCACCCACTGCACCCCACAATGTACTGCGCTCTCACAGTGCATTGTGAGAGACAGGATTGGCAAAAGCAGTGCACACAGATCAGGTGCAATGCTTTGGCCAATCACAGCACAATTGGGCAGAGCTAGCAGTGACGTCACCGCTATCTCTGCCTAATTGTTTACATCTAACTGGCAAATGTCATATTGCAGTGAGTGCTTGGTGGGTGTAGACAGGTCAGCAGGCATTTTTCTTATTCAGCGAGTCATCATCGTGGTGACAACGTTGGATGCTGTGATTGACAATGGGTTACAATGAGGGAACCATTTTTTTAAATTTTTTTATTATTAAATAACTACATTTAATAAATAAAAACCTTTAGATAATGGGTAGGGGTACAAGTATCCCTTATTCATTCACAAGTGGGGGCATCAGGGCACCCCTTTATTTAAAGGGGTGCCCTGATGCTAATGAGTTCCCCTGCCCACAGACCCCTACAACCACCAGGTCAGGGTTGTGGGGTAGAGGCCCATACCAAGGGCACATGGTCTGGTAAGCCACAGGGAGGGAGGGTGCTCTATGGCCCCCCTTTCCTGCCCTGCCAGGCCTGTGCTCAGAGCAAGGGTCTGGTAGAAATTTAGGGGGGACCACTTTATTTTTTCCCTCATTTTTGGGGGGCGGGGCTCCCCTTAAAAGTCCTACCAGGCCTAAAGGACCTCAAAGTGCTTTTAGGGAGAAACCCACACTTTCTTTCTCCCATATTTGTGAGGTGGGGTTTCCCTTAAAAATCCTACCAGGCCTAAAGACCTGGTATGACTTTTAGGGGGAACTCCATGCACTTTTTAAACATTTTTTTACTGTGGGGTCCCACCTAATCTTCCTGCTAGACCTTAAAAAAAAAAGTCAGTCCTGCTGCAAATTTTTTTTCACTGATTCACGTCCCTCAGGGAAGTACCCAAGTCCTCATACCCCTTTTATGGCCAATAACTTGCATATAAGCCTTCAAAATGGGCACTTTTGAATTTACAAGTTTGAGTCCCATAGACTTGCATTGAATTCAAAGTTTACAGGTGAACGCTCATTAGGTTCGAATGTTCAACCGCGAACCGAACACAGGGGTGTTCAGTCCAGATTTGCTCCAGAACATAGGATCAAGTTATTCTAAATTTCTTAGGGAATATTCATGGGTTCTGTGTTCTTGCTATATAGAAAAAATCCTTTTAATGAGCTGTAATTTACCATCTACACCTTGTTCCAGGAAATGGATTTTGAAATTGCATTGAAATCTATGTTGTATGGAATGATGAGATGGCGGTTAAACAATCATGGTCATAAACTATGTTGATCATCAATAGATCAATATGGTGGAACTTGCTCTTTATTCAATATTGAGACATACAGTATTTGTAATAAGCAGCATTCTTATCTGCTTTCCATGCCTCAATATCCCCCATTTATACCCAATTTGTTTGATGCGTAACCATGTCATGCCTGTAAGACATCATATGATGTCTTGGTCTTTCAGTGTTCATACTGTGACAATGCCTGAAGCTGGCAAAGCACTTTCATGTAAAAACAATCCTAGCAGCTAATTATGGGCTGAATTACTTCCGGTGACTTTTTTAGCTCTCACGGTCCACCGGGGAGTTCTTGACTGAAGTTAGCATTTCCACAAGCTTACCATAGAGGTGACCAAGAACTGGACCATCCCCTGAGCATCTCTATGGTATAATAAAGCAGAAGCAACAAGGATTTTGTCACTTCTGGTTTCACCAGGATGTAAACAAGCCATTACTACCTTGTGAAAGTATCTGATCAAACCGATCTCGGTTTGATAAGATGCTTTTAAGGGAGAGGGGAGATCTGCGGTCTTTCCATCCCTTGTGATAGCAATAAAACAAATTTTTTAAAAGGAAAGACAGTGTGAAAAAATAAATGTAAAACTGTTAAGCGCCTCTGCCCCCACTTGCTTGCATGCAAACGCATATGTAAGCCCCTCACGCATATGTAAATGATGTTTTCACCCCATATATAAGGCAATAATTCTAGCACCAGATATCCTGTGTAACTCTAAACCTCTAAACTGGTAACCTGTAAAGGCTTTTAAAGTGGAGATCTTTAGGTACCATAATTTGCTGACGTTTCATGGGCGTACGCAATTTAAAGTGTGCCATGTTGTTAGATATCTACTCAGTGTAACATCATCTTTTATATTTTACCAAAAAATGGGTATTATATTGTGTTTTTGTGCACAAAAAATTCATTAAAGTGTATTTTTTCCAAAACATTTGCATTTGTCAGAAGTGGCCCTGTAGGCAAACAGTTAAACTTATTTTGGGGGTAAGGTGTGGGAAACAGAGAATGATTAATTTAGCCACCATTTGATGGCACTTATAAATTTCACCCTCATTTGAGTTCCTGCACATGCACAGTAACTCAGTAGGGCATTCATTACAGTGATCAGGGGATGTAAGAAGTTGGGTGGTCCCTACAGTGATCAGGGATGTAAGTGGTTGGGTGGTCCCTACATAATCAAAGATGAGGTTTTGATGAGACACTCCAGTAAGGTCATGGATGGGCTTGAGTTGAACTGTGGGCAGGGTTAACTGTGTCCCAGGGACTAGGACTGAAATGTAGAAAATGTGTGCATCATCTGAACAAACAGGATTCTCAGTGGAGGATATGCTAACATATAGCTAGCCCTTCAGGTATCAACCAGCAGCACTCCCTTTGCTGAGCAAATGGGACAGATACTGAAGAGATTTACAATATTATGAAAACACTGTTCCTTTTATAAATCATATTTGCAGGCAATGTCAGACAATTCCTAATCACATTGTGTTGTATTGAATTGTATGGTAATTTTTATTCCAAAGCCAAGTTTGTTATATGCAAGATCCATGAATTATACTTTATATACAATATGTTATATAGGTTTCCTTTTCAATTTTTAACAGAAAGATTTCATGAGCATCGAGCTGAGTGATGGGCGAATAAAAGTTAGCTATGATCTGGGATCTGGCACAGCCTTTGCAGTCAGCAACAAAAATCATAATGATGGCAAATGGAAATCACTCACTCTCTCCAGAATACAAAAACAAAGTAGGTATTAAACACAGACACACACATATTAAAATGCGGTGGTATGGCTGTCATATACAAATGCTTATACTAGATGTAAACCCGGTCACAAATAAGCTTTACATTTTATGCCGTTTTCAATCTTTTTAAATCTACAGCTTTCATTGCAAGAACGCCTAATGATCTTGCAATAGTTAAAGGTCTTTGTTCAGGCACATCCTATTGTGAAGTGGGAGCTGTCTACCAATTGCACTACTCTGTTGATACCCTGTCATATGCACCCCTGGAGGAGACTACAGCTGGTCATGCCAACACATTGACCAGGCATAACCAATTTTCTTTACCCTTCTCTTCAGAAGACGCTCCTGTTGAGACGTTAACTCCCATAGATGGCCTAGCCGTCTCTGTGAGATGGTTGCATTTCCATCTTTGGAAAATTTTTATATGACTTTTACTACAGTATTCTGACTGATCAGTAAGGTATTGCTGATCTTCTTGTAGCTTTCACCTTTCTTGTGTAAAGAAATTATTTTCTTTCTCAGGCTTTGTGACATTTCTCTTCCATGTGTTACCATTGCTGACAGCATGAAATGGGAAGGAGTTTTCTTCCCATAAGAAAACTCCTTCCCATTTATACTCAACTGTCTGCTGGACACCTGTTTAATGAATAATTAGACTCCCCTGTAGCTGAATTCTTGTTAATTAGGATTTTGTTTGTAACATTTAGCTTTGCTCCTACTTTCATTGGGGTATATTCATTTTTGCAACATGGTCTTGAATAATTTGTTAAGAAAAATATTTTTTTGCGTGTGCAAAATAACAAATCTTGTTTGCGGGCAATGACCTGCATTTGTGGGAGTATTTTGTAATATAGTGTCCCATAGAAAATGTTGATTCTAAAAGGAAAGCAAAAGGTTTTCTGACAAATCTATTGGAGTGTACTCATTTATGCTGAGCACTGTATAGTTCAAGAAAATGTTAAGCCTCTGGAAAGGAGGTCAGATTATAAATCCCTAGTACTGCGTGTTCTTGCACATTATGGTAAATTCTGTCCCAGTTCCTCTCTCCCCCAGTGCTGCATGAGTTTCCATATATCCCCAAGAGAAAATAAAGGAGGATCACAACTAATCCTGTACTGCATGACAGGTGTAGCCTCTACAGCAATGCAAATGAATATCAGCATATTGAAAATAACTTCTGGATGCCCTATTATTCAGAAAGTTTACTGAAAGTCCAAATGGGTGAAAAAAATGACCTTTGGTGTATTTAGCCTATTCAGGTTGTAATCCCTAATGGTACAGCTGTGACCCAGGCCTGAAGAACTAGCATTTGTATGGTTAATCATACAAGTAAATTCCAGCAGGTTAAATCAATAGGTTATTATCATTAAAATATGACCATCTTTTGAACATGTATCTACTCACTTTTAGGTTGTGTATATTAACCATTTGACGCCCGGCCAATAGCCATATGCCATCCTGAAAAATGTACTAGCTTTCCAGGAGGCCACCATATGGCGTCCTCCCGCACATGCGCAGTTTGCGTGCTTGCAGAGCCACGCAGCTGCGCAATCTGTCACCGGCCGTGTACCTCAGACACGGCCGATGACAGATCTGAGTACCGGCCCCCTTTGCCGGTACCATGTGACCTGCTGTGACCAATCACAGCAGGTCACATGACAGTTGTATACAATGGATGGCTTCATTCATGCCATCCATTGTATTCTAGTGTCTAGCTGTGAATGGTCACAGCTAATCACATGCACATGTCATGTGATTAGCTGTGGCCAAATCACAGCTAAGCACAAAAAAAAAAAAAAAACCCTGAATGAATCGATGTCATTCAGGTAAATGCTTGCTTATAGCAAAGTAATTCTTTGCTTTAAGCAAATTGTGTAAAAAAAATATGAAATATGAAAAAAAAATCTTAAAAAAAATAAAATGTAATAAAAAATTTAAAATAATAAAAAAAAAAAAATATATATATTTTTTTTCACACTGTCACCAGTCAGTGTCCCTGATCACCGCCATACCAGTTATATAATGACGCTGTACTGCACTGGTGACAGTATGTAAAAAAAAAAAGTGAAAATATTTTTTTTTTTATTTTTTTCATTTTCCGAAAAATTATGACAAAAAAATACAAACTTCAAAAAACTCACCATGCCTCTTATGAAGTACGTCCGACTGTCTACTCTACAGATATCCCCCAAATGACCCCTTTTTGCACTGTTCTGACATTCTTGGACCTCAAGAAATTAGATTGGCTGTCAGTACTTCAGGATTGATCAATATTCAGATCTATACCATAGTTTTTGAACTCTATAACCTTCCTACAAACTAAAAAAATACATCCTAATTTGGGTTATTTTCACCAAAGACATGTAGCAGAATATATCTTGGCCTAAATTTATGAAGAACAATTATTTATTTCCAAACTTTTATAACAGAAACAAAGAAAAATTGTTTTTTTTTTCAAAATTGTCAATCTTTTTTTGTTAATTTAGCAAAAAATAAAAACCCCAGCAATGATTAAATACCACCAAAAGAAAGCTCTAGTTGTGTGAAGAATATTGATAAAATTTTAGTTTGGATACAATGTTGTATGACCGCGCAATTGTCATTCAAAGTGAGAGCGCTGAAACCTGAAAAATGGCCTGGGCAGGAAGGTGTAAAATTGCCAAATATTGAATTGGTTAAGAAGCGTCAGTATGTGTAAATGAACATTTCCAGCATGGCTCTGCAGTTCTGCCAGAAATTGGGATGCTATTTCGTTGACATGCTAATTTTTTCATTTGACCTCTATTTATCTAATCTTTTTTTAGCCAATTTTTCTATTGTGGATGTGGATACAAATGAAGAGGACAAGGTAACCACCACATCCACTGGAAGTAATTTTGGTCTGAATTTGAAAGCTGATGAGAACATATATTTTGGTGGCCTGCCAGTACTGAGAGGCTTAAGGTAAATACACTGTCCTATGTATAGAAAGTTCCATCTTGTTTTCAAGCCTTATTTCACAGGTGGCAACCTATCACGGTACCACGCTTGAATGCACTGAGCTCCTGAGAGTGACCCATTTTTTCACAAATGTTTGTAGAAGCAGTCTGCATGCCAGGTGCTTGATTTTATATACATGTGGCAATGGAGTTGATTGGAACACCTGAATCCAATGATTTGGAGGGGTGTCCCAATACAATATTTTGTATATATGCATATATATATATATATATATATATATATATATATATATATATATATATTTACAGAGTTAATAATAGAATGATTTAGATTTCTGTTTTAAAAGTTGAGTAGCACTTAAAAAACCTGTATGCGCAGGTTCTGTACCATAGGGATTCCATTACTACATATACTTAAGATTACTTCACCAAACTGTAATAAATTAAAATTATGATGTCTATTGTATCCACCTAAATTTCACTGCAGTGATGAAAACTGATTTTGTTGCTATAGATATTAGCCAAGTATCTAAATGGTAAATGCATGTATTGTTTGATATCTACTTTATAAATATATTTTCATTGCCAAGTGGTTAAACATGCTTACCTTATAATTCAACCTGTGGTCTAATAAGTTTGAGGGCCTTTCCACACCCTTGGTTCAGCCCAGTTTGTGCCAATCACCTTCCCTATTACCTGTATCAGGTACAGGAATGCTAGGAAATGTAATTTTGATGTTTAATCCTGTATCATCCTAAAGTGGTCTGGTGTCTGTGATGTATATTTTCATGACCTAGACGTGCTCATCATGACAAAATCATTTTAATGAAAATCAGGAATTTTTAATGTTTTATAAATGTATGTATTAAGGTATAACCACCCAGAGGATGGGGGATTTAAATCAGACCAGCTTCGATAGCTCCAGAATTTGTTGCCAGATTTTATTATAGTAATAATCTGTGGGGAATTCAATAAAACTGCTGCACCACTTTTCTAGGTATGGTTAATCCCTCTTGTTACTGTATTGCTCCAAATTCATGAAGCATTTGCAACACTTTTGGTTCTGACAGCAACATGTGCAAGAAATTCAGGTAGTTCTAAAATGCACCACTTTTACAATGTGTCAAATTGAATGTGCCATTTCTACATTGTGTCGCATTAATCATCACATCCAAATTCAAAAGTGGAACTAATTAGAGCCCAATTCTCCTCTTTGGCATACTGAGAGAAAAAGCTGGTTCAGACAGATTTTGCAAAAGTGTCTCACATGTATTTTAAAAGTGAGGCAACATAAGTCGAATTCAAGTACAAGCTCTAGACAGGTAGATGAATTCAGAACACTTTTAGAATTAAAGGCACATTCACAAAATCTGTGTCAATGTTTATGAATACAGTTAGGTCCATATATATTTGGGCACAAGCACAATTTGTTTTTTTCAGACATTTACAAAAACATTCAAGCTATAGTTATATAATGGATATGGACTGAAAGTGCACACTCTCAGGTTAAATTTGAGGGTATGTACATCCAAATTGGAGGAAGGGTTTAGGAATTACAGCTCTTAAGAGTAGCCACCCCTCTTTTTCAAGGGACCAAAAGTAATTGGACAATTGAATCAAAAGCTGTTTCATGGCCAGATGCTTCTTCATTATTTCTTCATCAATTAAGCAGGTAAAAGGTCTGGAGTTGATTCTAAGTGTGGTATTTGTATTTGGAATCTATTGCTGTGAACCTACATTATGCGTTCAAAGGAGCTCCCCATGCAAGTGAAACAGGCCATTGTAAGGCTTCAAAAATGAAACAAATACATCAGAGAGATAACAGCAACATTAGGAGTGGCCAAATCAACAGTTTGGTACATTCTGGGGAAAGAAGAACTGGTCAGCACAGCAACATAAAAAGGCATGGACGCCCATGGAAGACAACAGTAGTGGATGATCGCAGGATCCTCTCTATGGTAAAGAAAACCTCATTCACAACATCTAGACAAGTGAAGGACACTCTCCAGAAGGTGGACATATCATTGTCCAAGTCTACAATCAAGAGAAGACTTCACAAGATCAAATACAGAGGGTTCACCACAAGGTGCAAACCATTCATAAGCCTGAAGAATAGAAAAGCCAGATTAGACTTTACCCAAAAAAATCTAAAAAAGCCAGACTAGTTCTTGAAAAGCATTATTTAGATGGATGAAGTTAAGATTAATCTGTACCAGAATGACAGGAAGAAAAAATTGTGGAGAAGGCTTGGAACAGCTCACGATCCAAAGCACACAACGTCATCTATAAAACATGGTGGAGGCAGTGTGATGACATGGGCATGCATGGCTTCCATTGGCGCTTGGTCATTGGTGTTTATTGATGATGTGACAGAAAACAGAAGCAGCCAGATGAATTCTGCAGTGTTTAAGGATATATTGTCAGTCCAGATTCAGCCAAATGCAGCAAAGTTGATTGGACTGCACTTCACAGTACAGATGGACAATGATCCAAAACACACTGCAAAAGCAACCCAGGCACATTTGAAGGAAAAGAAGAGGAATATTCTGCAATGGCCAAGTCAATCGCTGATCTCAACCCAATTGAGCATGCATTTCACTTGCTGAAGGCAAAACTAAAGGCAGAAAGACTCACAAAGAACAACTGATGACAGCTGCAGTTAGAGCCTAAAATCAAGGCAGAAAAGCGAGCGCTAAAACCATAAGCAGCTAACGCACCAAAAAGGTAACCAAAACAACTTCTTCAAGACAATAAGATAAATATAGATGCAGCGCTGAGATACTCAAGACCAGAATTATAAATGCAATGTTAATCATGTACAAATACATAATTATTGATAATCAAAAAAGACCATAAAGTGACAAAGCGCAAATAATGTGCTAATAAACCAATTCTGCAATACCCATAAATTCTGCTACTAAAGTGATAATCGTAAGCACATGATAGTGCTAAAATATCAAAATCATATAAACGACAATTGAATGTCCATAAAGTGATAGTGTGAAGATCCAGCTGAGAATGATCTTAAGGTAAGTGCTTCACACGCTATGACGATTATTCGGTGATGTGCCAGAAATGTGTTAAGATTACACACTCACCAGCATTTGTAAATAATGTGGTCAGCCGGAGGTCCCCTTAAGGATGTATACAGCCTGGTCTGGTCAGAGAGATCCCCTTCCCCTGGGTTATCTGCAGCACCTCATCGTCCTCCGAGAGATGGGCTCTGTGGGTTTGTTAGCTCATAAAGAGCCAGAAAGAAGGATGCCACTCAGCATAAACAGCAGAACACAGATTAATGTGGCCACAAAGTCCAAAAATGTCAAGCCAAGTCTCTGCCACATTTTCTTTTTCCATATCACATTGCCTCTCATTTACATGGCATGGTATTTTGTACTCAATATAACTCCATGGGAAGTACTGACACCATTCCTGAGGTTAGGAGAAGAACACAACAAGGAAAAGTGCCTATATCACACTTGCGACATCAATCACATAGGGTGAAATTTTACTGGTAGAGCAAGGAAGACATCAAAGCGTCAAGATAGAAAATTTAAAGCAATATGCCTTGAAAACAGAAAATGCACAAAAAAAATAAATAAGGAACAAATGGGCAGAAACTGGAGTCAATGTCTGTGACCGAACTATAGGACATCACCTAAAGAAAATGGGATTTACATACAGAAAAGCCAAACGAAAACTATCATTAACACCTAAACAGAAAAAAAACGAAGTTACTGTGGGCTGTAATTATGGACTGTGGATGACTAGATGAAAGTGATATTTGGTGATGAATCACAAATCTGTATTGGGCCAGGGTGATGATGCTGGAACCTTTGTTTGGTACCATTCCAACGAAATTTATAAATACGACTGACTGAAGAAAAAATGCAAATTTCCACAATCGTTGATGATATGGGGTTGCATGTCAGGTAAAGGTACGGGGGAGATGACAGTCCTTAAATCTTCAATAAATGCACAAGTTTATATTGAGATTTTGGACACTTTTCTATTCCGGGATGTTTGATGATGATGACATCATTTTTCAGGATGAGAACGCATCTTGCCATAGGGCAAAAGCCATGAAAACTTTCCTTCAAGACATATGTCCATGGCATGGCCTGCAAATAGTCCGGACCTCAATCCAATTGAAAATCTATGGTGGAAATAAAAGAAAATAGTCCATGACAAGGCTCCAACCTGCAAAGCTGATCTAGCAACTGCAACAAGAAAAAGTTGGAGCCGGATTGATGAAGAATACTGTTTGTCAATCGTAGAGCAAATCCATGCCTCAGAGAATTCAAGCTGTTATAAAAGCCAAAGGTGGTGCAACAAAGTATTAGCGGTGTACTGTAGTGGGTTTTTTCATGATTTCATAATATTTTCCTCAGAATTTTTTTTTCTCTGCTTGATCTGCACAGTGATTAAAATGGTTAGCACTTCCACCTCACAGCACTAGGATCATCGGTTCAAATCCCAACCATGGCACCACCTGCCTGGAGTTTTCATGTTCTCCCTGTGCCTGCGTGGGTTTCCTCCCACACTCCAAAGACATGCTGGTAGGTGAATTGGCTCCTGTCTAAATTGGCCCTAGTATGTGTATGGTATGAATGTGAGTTAGGGACCTTAGATAGTACGCCCCTTGAGGGTTAGGGACTGATGTGAATGTACAATATATATGTAAAGCGCTGTGTAAATTGACAGCGCTATATAAGTACCTGAAATAAATAATAAATAAATAAATCTGCAAAAAAAAACAGTTGCAACTGACTACAATTTTCTTTCTTTATTTATTTTTTAAGTGTTTCTCAAAGCCAGAAGGTTGGAATATTAAATTAAAAAGTTTTGAGGCATGTCTGTGATTAGTTTTTTCTCTACACAATTAAACAATTGAATGAACATTTTCCAAGAGTGGTGATTCCATACTTTTTTCTAGAGGTTGTACACACAGTAATAAGTGGCAAGTTTGTCCTGTTACTGATAGGAAGCGCACATGTCGTGGGCCAG